CTGGAAGACCTTTTCTCAAGATTGTGGAATTATTGGTCTTTTATTTTCTTCTTTATACTTTATTTTTTCCAAGTTTCTATGGTAAGTAGATAGTGCTTTTTTATTTAGAAGAAGAGAATAATACCAAAGAGATTTTGTTCTTCAGATCAGAACTTGTATTTTAATAGGAAACAGTAAAGACTCAAAATAATGAATATTTAATGACATCAAGAGAGCTAGAAGTAACAGCATCAGAGGTCACCTTTAGGAAGCTTAATCAGACAGCAGGATACCAAGTGACTAGGTGAGGAAGCAAAGACTAAAGGTGGGGAAGCCATCGCGGAGTACCTGGAAATCTAGCCGAGAGGGGAAACCAGGTCAAACCCTGGCAGGGCCAGTGGACAAGGAATCCAGTCCTCTGCAGTTCATTCATTCCTCATCATAAAAGACTGATCTTGGGTTGAATGAGATGTCAGATGATTAAAACCTTCAAGAGACTTCCAAAGCCCTCTATAATCACCAAGTGGGATTATAATGTATAATTGTGTTTTTATCATTTTTTTACAAATTCAGAGTGAACATGAGAAGCTGACATACCTAAGATCTTTGTCTTCGCTCAGCCGAACCTTACCTTATGATGAAACCACGGAATCATTCATTCACAGCCACATCGCAGACATTGTGCATGTCCTATACGTAAGTACGGCGACTTGATTACGAATTGTTGGGACCGTGCAAATTCAACGACCTGGCTAACAAATTTTTTAGGAGCTTCACCTATATGGCCGACTCCCTTACCCTTTTCTTACTTCAGCATCTCTGCATGGCGGGGAGATACTCAGGGGTGCTCTACAGTGTGATCATCCTTGAAAACCAGCTGAAAAAGGAGTGGAGAGGAGAGGAACAGCACACATTTCTCAGTGAAAACAATGCTGTGTTCTCATTAGTCAAGCAGTAGTTCTCAGGCAGACTCAGTAATCCAGTGCCTAGGTTCAAGGACCAGCTCTGCTTCTTTCTAGCTCTGTGACTTGATTTTGGGAAACTCCTAACCTCTCAGTGCCTCAGTTTCTTCACCTGTAAAATGAGGATAGCTGTATCTGCTTCACGGAACTATTGGGAGCATTAAATAAGACATAAACATAAGCTAGGTAGCACGGTACCTAACACATATTTTGCATTTAAGAAACGTGATTGTAGGTGTTCGCAGCTGTCCTTGCTCTCTAACCCCAGCTCCACCTGAAGGAGAAGGGGTTAAGTAAAGAGGTGTCCTTAGCACGGCTCCTTCAAAGCAGACTGCCCACAAATCAACCGGCAGCAAAGCACCCAGGAAGCAACTGGCTACCAAAGCCACTCGCCAGAGTACGCCCTCTACTGGAAGGGTTAAGAAACCTCGTCGCTGCAGGCCTGGTACTGTGGCACTTAGTGAAATTAGATGTCATCAGAAGTCCATTGAACTGATTCACAAACTTCCCTTCCAGTGTCTGATGTGAGAAATTGTTCAGGACTTCAAAACAAGCAAATTTCTTATTGATGGCACTAAATGGTGTTTGTAGCATTTTTATCATACAGTAGATTCCATCCATTCACTATACTTTTCTGAGTTGTCCTACATGCAAGTACATGTTTTTAATGTTGTCTGTCTTCTGTACTGTTCCTGTAAATTTGCTATTAAAATTCATTAAACTAGTTTTAAAAGAAACATGATTGTGCTCTTTTTATTATTATTTTTTGTCCTATTTGTAATTAACTCCAGCCGCTCTCTGCCACTAACTCATTCATTCATTGCCTTATTAAGTGCCTGACCGTCCCAGACAGCGACCTGGGAATTGGGGCTACAAAGACAAAGAAGAACATAATCCCCGTTTCTGCAGCCAAGCAAGGTGTAATCAACTGTTACAGGGACTGTGACAGAAGTTTAAATAGGTATAGTGAGGGTACAGAGGAGTGACTGAGTGTTCAATTCCATGTCAGAGGCTCCAGAAGGGCTTTACAAAGGAGGCGATGCTCTAAGAAAGCACTTAACTTGTTGATGCTTTAGTTTTCTCATCTGTGAAATGGTCCCTTCAGTTTTTCTAAAGCTCTAAGATTCTGAATCTGAGATTTCTTACACCCTCCAGGGAAATGAGCAGCTCTTTTTCAACACACAGATTTAAAGGCTGATCAGATTGATGATTAGCTTTCAGAATTGAAGGCTAACCAGTTAACAGGTTTGTTCAGCAATAGACAGTTATCAAGGATCTTCTGTATCTAGAACACTGGTGCTTTGATAAAGGACACACATTTCCAAAAGTGTAAATTGATTTCTTCCAAGAGTTTACAATCCTTTGGAAGTGACCACACCTCATAAATAGACTGAGAACTATTCCCAATAATACATCAAGAAGAGCAGGATGCTGTAATGCAGATTTTAAGAATGGATGCAGCTTTCTGCTTGGCTATAGTCCACAGACAGAGGATTATAGGCAGCTATAGGACCCAGCCAAAATAGCATGATTCCAAAATCCCACTCTCACAAGAATTGGCATGGTTTAACCAGCCAGCTCAGAAGATCCACAAGTGCAAGTCTCAGACAGCAGAAGCACGCTGAATTTCCCTGTGCTCTGCATCTGGATCTGACCAGCCAGTAGTAGAATACCCACTGTCAAGTAACAACCAAAGTGTGGGCTGGCAGGGGGTTCAGCCTAGAAAAGTTAAGGGTAGTTGTTGTTTGTGAGAGAATCGTGTGGATTATTGCATCATTGTACAAGTCTGCAAAGTCTCTGCAAGCCCACGTGCAGGAGCTAAGAGAGTACAACTCCCAACAACCGAGAGGAGAGATGCCTGAGGAGAGGCAGTTCTGCTGAGGAACCCACAGGAGGAGAAAACCAGAGTCATTATAAAGAAAGAAGAATTTAAGAGCATTTGCCAGTCTTACGAGCCATACCCATGTGGGCTCTTCAGGATCCCAATGAAAAGAGCCAAGGAAGCTAAGGACATAAACAGGAAGGGGGGAAAATTTGTTATTAGGCTTTACCAAAGAAGATGTATAAATAAGCACACAAAAAGCTGCTCCATTGTTGTGATTAGGGAAAAGCACATTAAAACCACAGTGAGATTCAGCTATGTACCCATTAGAATGGCTAAAATGAAGAAAGATAATGCCAGATGCGGGTGAGATACGGTGCAACTGGAACTCTTACACACTGCTGGTGGGAATCTAAAAATGGCACAGCCACTTTGGAAAACAGTTTGGCGATTTCGTAAAAAGTCATGCTGACATATGAACCAACAATTCCACTCCTAGGCGGAGGGTATGGCTGCACAGAGACGTGTGCATCAATACTCATAGCAGCTCTGTTTGTAATAGCTAAACACTGGACGCTGCCCAAATGTCCACCAGCAGATGAATGGGTACACAAATTTTGGTATATCCACACAACGGAGTAATACTGAGCAGTGAGGAGAAATGAACTATCGATACATGCTACAACTTTCACGACTCAGAGTAATCGTGTTGAGTGAAAGAAGCCAGACAAAAGAGAGGAGGTACTTACTATGTGATCCTATTTATATAAAATTCTAGAAAGTGCAAACCTTTCTATAGTGATATCAGGTCAATGGTTTCCTGGAGGTAGAAGCAGACTGGGAAGAGGCAGGAGGGAGAAGTTACAAAGTAGCACTGGAAAACTTTTGGTAGTGATCCATTTGCTCAACATCTTGATTGTGGCGATGGATGATACACGTGCCTTTTAGACCTGACTGATTGAGAAAGAGAAAACAAAGGTTTATCCCGGCAGAAGTGCCCATGCAGGTTGAAGTCAGAAGGGAATGCAGACCTGGTGGTTTCGCTACAAGGGCACTGCCTTCACCTGCATTCGAGGTGCATGGCTGCAGGGGCGCTGTGATCAAATGGATGCGGGAAGTGAGTGAAGGAGAAAGTCATAAATGCTTTTTTATGAGCCCCGGGAAGGGGCCCCATGGACAGCAGCAATTGAAGGCTGAGGTTGGGGCAGAGGGGAAATAATGAACTCACTTTTTAACACCAAGTTGCCAGCTCGTAGCTGTGATCTTCGTAGTGATGCTGCTGAGATAAGTAGATTTGGGCAACCCCGGGAGGCTGAAGGCAGAGCCTTATCCTTCGTCCCTCCCGGACCATAAAACCCTAAACGTAACTAAACTCCTTGGGGAAACAACGAAGAAGAGCAGCGGGCCCCCAGCGAGACCTGACCAGAACTGGAAATAATCACTAGTAATAAAAATAACGACTAATGGACACTGTCCAACAGCTGCCGAGGGCTTCTAGATATTATGCATGAATTAGCTCATTAGTGCTCACAACTACCCTATGAAGATAAGTACAGGTGAGGAAACCGAGGCCCAGGGAAGGTTGAATAACCTGTGTCAGCTCAAAGAGCTAGGAAGAGGCAGAGCCAGGCCTCAGGGTCCGGCTCCGGAGAATAAACTCCTAGCCTGGCCACTGTCCTTCTGCCTGTCCTGTGGAGCCGAGGGGTAGAGCCCTCTGAAGCCCACCCACATCTCTGATCATTTGGCCTAACGACTTGGCACATTCTCCACTCTCTCTCCTAAAGCTCTTTCCCTCTGATTGCAGATTCTGGTGGAAGAGGAGCCCCTGCATTCTCTCTTCAGCCCTGTGCGCCAGGAGGTCTTTGTCACCATCACTGACCTCAGGTGACACCCATACACCCCCTACACATGTGTCCTGGTTCTTCATTCAGGGCCAGTAGCAAAGCCAACTGACATGTTCCATATTTTTAACTTCTCAAAACTATTTAGATAGAGAAGTGAAAGCCAATTCCATGTTTTGTGTAAGAACTTTGATTTCATGTATGCTACCGTTCGTATCTGAAAGGCCTTATTGGAGCCTCCTTAGCGTTCAGCTTTGTCCAAAGTATATTCCATGGAAAGTTACTACCATGTCTGCTTCATGACAGAGTTTCATGGTCTAAGAAATTTGGAAGGGCTGTCTTCTGTTTACCTTTCTTGGAGGTTTGTACTGCACATGAACTGATTGAAGATTTTTAACTTGGTTTAACCTGCCATTCCCCAAACTAACAAACGCTCGGCAGAACACACTTTGAAAATCGTACTCGACTGTTTAGACTGTAGCAGGCTTCTCTTCCATGGTTGACCTGGAGGCAAGCCCGGAAGGACGTCGCTCCTGTGACCTCCTGGGGAGGCAGGGAGGGTAAGGAGAGAAGGGTGGAGGCTGAGCCTGAAACTCCTTCTCTAACCTTTTGTAAGATGTAGCTAAGCAGACTGACGAGCGTGCCATTGACCTCTTCCATCGGAATGACACGCCAGTCAGTCTGCCCTTTCCTTTTGGGTCACTTTGATCTCCACGTATCAGTGTCCAGTCCCACTCTCCCCAGCTTACTGTTCCCAAACTGTCTTCTCCTAGTTACCAAGATGTCCATTTGCTCTTTGGCTCTGAAGATCGAGTGGACTTGTTCAGTCTTATCACCAAAAGTATAATCACTCTGCCATCTGAAAAAGCTCTTGCCCAGCTGCAGGAAATCATGCCAAGTGGGTCCTGCAACTCAGAGGTAACTCACACTTTGCTTTCATAACTTGCCATCGCCAGGGTCAGCTGATATTGGCCACTGGAGAGCGCATTTTATTTTTTTGGAAGCAGCCAAACACCATTCAAGCCAAGTCTGGTGAACGGAATAGGTGGTTACGTGAAATAGCTTTCCTCTCCTCTTCATTTTGTCTTTCCCTTCCTTCCTTCTCTCCTTGCTCTTGGCTTTAAAATAAGGTGGAGGGTTCATACTCTAAGCAGGTATTTAGGGTTACCATGTGCTAAGCATCACGACAGGCAGCAGAAATAGAGCGGTACCCTCCCGTCCGGGAGCTTACGTCCTAGTGCTGGTAGATACCATATCAGGTGGTAATAGTGCTGTGAAAAAAATGGGGAGGCCGGCCGGGCATGGCTCAGCGGGTGAGCATCGACCTAGGATCCAGGAGATCAGGGTTTGATTCCCGGTCAGGGCCCATGCCCGGGGTGCGGGCTCGATCCCCAGCAGGGGGCGTGCAGGAGGCAGCTGATCAATGACTCTCATCACTGGTGTTTCTATCTCTCTTCCTCTCTCTGAAATCAATAAAGATATATTTAAAAAACTAAAGCAGGGAAAAGAAGATAAGGAGTACCGTGGGTGGGAGGCACGGGGCTTTTTCCGGGGGTGATCAGGCGACGTTGAAGAGAGAGGGTGTGGCTGTCTCTGGAGGAGAAGCTTTGGGGCAGAGAGAGGAGGAAGTGCAAAGGCCTTGATGTCTCCCTGCCCCTAGTAAACTGGCTGGCAAAGCGACTGCTAGCGGGACGTCATTCCCCTTTGCCTCAAGATGTCAGAAAGGGCCACGAGCCAAACTTTAAAAGTACTTGGATGCTCCTAAGTGATTCCCTAAGTGTAGTTAGAATCAGTTAGCTGTGTTCCCGGTATGTTGGGACATCCATGCAACGTGCACATACATCGTTTCACAAACTGCCTCCCAGTGCTTCTGCGCTGGTTCCGCACCGTCAAGTGAGGTCTCAGGATGACGAGGGGAGCCTGACAGTGCAGGCATGGGGCGCGACATGTGGTGGCATCACGTACCCCTGTGCCTTTTCAGTGTCTCTACAGGCAGACGTTTCAGGTGTTCTCTGAGATGCTCCAGAGTTTGGTGGTAAAAGACCCACATTTGGAAAATTTTGACATCATTTTGAAGGTAAACAGGATATTGGGGAGAACGGGAAACTATTGACTGGTGAAAGTGGAAGAAAATGGGGCAGGGTTAAGTTTTAAGAGAGAGCCTTGGGTCAGACTTGGGTTCAAATTCTGACTCGCTGCCATTCATTGGTTATAAATTCAGCAAGGAATGTGATTTTTCAGGATCTCATTTCTTCACTTTTAAGTTGAGGTAACATTAGGGTACTGAGTAAGTGGCCTTGGGTGCGTGGTTTAAGTGGCCGCTGTATTCCTCACGCCATGATTGCTCACTGCTGCAGAAGGGTTTCAGTCGGTGACCAGAGCACAGGGCCAGCCTCCCGAATGGGAAAATAGGCAGCTGCCTGCCAGGTGAGATTTAAGTGTTGTCAATCCCCCCTGCCCCCGGCACCGTCCCAGCACGTGCCATTCCATCATCAGAAATGTACTCGTTGGAGGGCATTTGCCACAGTTCAAGCATCTTGCTCTCCTGGCCCTTTTCCAGGTGCAGATATCCCAGAAAGGGGTAACCCTTTCAACTGTTATCAATGCTTTGTTCCTAAGGACAGAGGGTCATTTATCTTTGCCACGATCAGCCTTAACATTATTTCTCATTTCTCTTATTTTTGTACGTCAACACGGCAGCCAGATCGGGTTCCTCTCCTCTGCCCCGTGTGCCTTGCACTCTCCTGCCCTGGCAGCTTAATTCCCGCCGTTTCTCCTTCGTGAAGCTCCTACCCGTGGGCATTAACTTTCCCATGAGGCCTTCCCTGACCGTTGTAGGCAGGCACCGTTTCCCTACCCTCAGAGTTCTATAATAGCATGGCATTAATTTCCTTTCTTTCCAAAGCAGGTTTCAGAAAGCTGAAAACATATAGAAGAGTAGAATAAATAATTGAAGGAGGTGGGATGACGGGAAAATAAATCTGGGAAGTGAGCCCCCAAGGACACTGGCCCCCGATGCCCTAGGTCTCTGTGCCTCGTTTGTCATCCTGCCACTTTGATTTCCAACCGAGACTAGTTTATCATTTAGGGAAATATATATCTTCAGGCACAGTAGTGACATGTGGAACTTCTCTCTCCACGTTTCCTTCCACACAGAATCAGGCGTTATCCCAGACCTTCCCGGTAAGTCATTCAGGCTCCCTTCATTTATCGTAGCACATGGACCCATGGTTACAGTCGGTTAAAGACCACGAGCGGGAGCGGGCCACAGCCAGCGTGGCTCAGGTTCTGAAGTGCTTGTGCATGCATCTCAACTTGAAGGTAAGCAGCCCTGCACAGGAGAGAGGGTCCAAAGCTATCCTATTACCGCCTGTCCCCTCCTCCTGTGACTCCCAGACTGGTGACTCCCTGGTGCTCATGTAATATCATGGCACTTAGCATTATTCACGTGCCTACCCTCTCCTAAAAGTCAGGCGGCTTGAGCCAGACACTGTGTTTACTAATCTTGCAGCCTCATTGCTTAGCCCGAGAGCTAGAACATAACAATAGAGTAAATGATTTTGAATGAATAAATAAATGTAACCTAAAAATACCTGAGGGCCCACAGCGATAGCCACTGCTAACATCTTTTTACTCCTCCTGACTACGTTTTGTGTGTGTGTGTGTGTGTGTGTGTGTGGGGTGGGGGCCTCTACTTCAGTTCCTTCCAGTTTGTTCTCTATATGTAGTAACAGCTGGAATAATCGTCTTAAAACCCACATCTCTCTTTTGATCCAGTAATTTCCAACTGTTCTTAGAATACCAGGTCTTGTATGACCTAGCTCCTGCTTGCCCATGTACCCTCCCCGACTCACTCCAGCCACACTGGCCTCCCTCACGGTCCTTAGCATGCAGAGCTCTTCCTGCCTCCTGCCCTTTGCACTCACTACTTCCTCTGCTTGGAATGACCTTCCCTAACCCTTCACACAGCCAGCCTCTCCTCAATCTTGAGTGCTCAGTTTAAATGTTTCCACCTCAAAAAGGCCTTTGCTTACAGATAGATCTACCCTTGTTCTCTGTCTCAAAGCTCTCTTTCCTTCCCGTGGCTTCTTAGAATCAAAGGTTATCTTGCTGGACTATTTCTTTATTGATTTATAGTCCATTTCCCTTTAATAGAATGCAGATTTCATCAGTGATCATGTTTGTCTTGTTTACCACAGCATCCCCAATGCCTAGCACAGAACATGCTACACAGTAGATGCTCAATTAAATATTTATTGACTAAATGCAGGTCAGCTCATGTCCCTTCTCTGCTCAGAGCCCTCCAGTGGCTTCCCAGCCCACATGGAATAAAATCCTTACACTGTCTAAGTTGCCATGTGATGTGGCCCCATCCTCGCCTGCCTCCCATTCCTTTCGCTCTGGTTTACTTGGCTCCAGCCAGCCCAGCCTGCGCGTCCCTCAGAAACACCACACACCGCGCCTTCTCTTTGCACTTGCTGCTCTCTGTCTGGGACGCTTTCCTCCCAGATTCCTGCGTGGCTAAGTCCCGCATTTTAACATTAGTGGGGTCTTCCCTGACCATTCTAACACAGCCCTTCCTGCCCTGCCCTCTACAAGTTTCTTCCTCAACGCATACATCGCCGCTCAATACACACGTGCTATTTGCTCCTTTACGACCCCCAACTAGCGTCTCACCTCCGTGAGCAGGGAGGTTGTCCTTTGTTCACTGCCCATGTCACCGGTGCCAGTCTCAGCGCCTTCGCTACGCGTGCCGTAGTCATAGCCAGTCCCGGCTTATAACTGACGCGCAGTATTTGTTGATCGGCTGGCTGAGCGAAGGCTCTGCCGGTGAGTGAGGGTGTCACAGGCTCCGCACATGCTGCTGTGTTGCCGGTAAATCGGTGGTGTTCACAATATTTCAGCGCATTTTTGCTGACTCGGTCCTAGAAACAGTGGTGCTTTCTCAGCGTGGCCCTTTGCTTCTTGTCTTATGGACGGCTTGAGTTGTGTTGCATGGGACGCTGCATTAGCCCGGAGAAGATTCAGAGCCGAGCTCCGGCGCCTGCCCCACGGCCTGCCTCAAGCACACGGTGACTCTGCGTCCTGAGTGCTAACCAAACTCTCAGCTTCATTTATCTTTCCTACCTGCATTTTTAAATTTATCCCACTTTCTTCATTATTTATTTTAAATTACATTTCTTTTGCTGGGATGGTTTTTGCCTGCTACTTTCCTTTTTTTTTTTTTTTTTCATAATAGAGCAAACTGTCAATAAATAAAATTTTAAAGTAGTGTTAAATGGTACACCTCAACTTTGTATCCAACTTTTCACTTAGAAGACTAGTACATTTTCCTACCTTATTATAAATTCCTAGGATACTTGATTCCTAATTATTATATTCATAGTGGCTAAACCATAGTTCTCTTTACTACTGGAAAATTATTTTCAATGGGGGGCCTCTAAAAACAGTGCTAGAATGAACATCTTTATATACAAACTTTTTCATGTTTCAGATTGCTTACTTACGTTACAAGTTATCATATTGACTATCATTTGCTGAGTATATTATATCCACACATGTTAAAATTTAAGCCTCAAGAGATCCAAGGGCTGAATGCAACTCTTGCACTTCTCTTGAATAGGTGGTAGAAGTGGAATTACTTCTCAGCAACTTAAATCTAAAGCCACTAAATACACCTGTATTCTAATGGCATTTTCTTTTCTCCCTAACTAGCTTCCACTGCGGTTCCAAAGGCTTGGACACCTAGTGGCTCTGATGGTCCTACTGTGTGGGGACCCACTGAAAGAGGTGGCCGAGGAGGCTGCAGAGGGCGTGCACTACCTGCTGCACATCACCCTGCGGCTGAAGTGTAAGGCGGCCAAGCCCCGAGTAAATCCAGCACAATGCAAGCACCAATCCTCCTGCGCCCTCACTCCCCACAGCCTAGAAAGCCTTTTTACAGTAGTTTACAGTGAGAAAGGTACATAGTCCATAGGCAGAGAGGAAGCAACACTGACTTAATAATTAGAATCATACCACTGGATCAGACCCCTCGGTGTCAGCCACGCACATGGCCATGGAGTTAAGAGTATCTAAACATGTAGCCCTGTGGACACACTAGGGTGATTAGTTTGGTCAGAAGTTTGGTCAGAAGTGCCATCATTTGGGCCTTTGTTCATTTATTTATCTCATAAATGCTTACTGAGCACTTACTTGGGATACAACAGTTACCAGAATATAAGCGGTCCAGTCCTTATGTAACATAGTCTAGGGGGCAAGTCAAACAATCAAAGAATCAACAAATAACTGTTACTATAAAAAAAAGATAACTGCCATGAAGGGAAATGACAGGGGCTATGAGTAAGAACCCAGTCTAGTGTGGGGGTCAGAAAAGGCCTCTCTGAAGACAATCTGAAAAATAAAGAACATTAGCCAGGTGAACAGGTAAGAAGAGCATGCTGGGTAGAGGGACCAGCAGGAGAAAGGGCTTTTAGCAGGTGCAACGAGCTTGAAGAGTTGAAAAGTAGAAAGAGGGCCATGTGGCCAAGGAATGAACCATCCCAGTTAGAAGAGACTTTAGAAGATATCTAACCAGGCATCCCCCCAGTGCGTGAGTCTCAGCCTACGCTGTCCCCACCAAGTGGCTGACTGAGCTCACTCGTCCCAAGGATAAGCTCCCTGCCTCCCAAAGTAGCAGTCTAACCTCTGGGCAGCTTCGAGTATGAGGACCATCTACAAAGTCACACCGTCAAGGAAGTATAACTGATTGCATTTCAACAAATATTCATGAAGCTCTTACTGTTCTCAAGCGGTGTGCTGGTGAACAAGGCAGACAGGGTCCCTTCCCCTAAAGGGTCCCTCTCCCCTCTAGTTGGAGAGACAGTGTCCTCAGCCAAGGGCTCCAAGACTTCCCATAGATAGATTTCTAGTGAATATGAGAAAAACGAGGCACCATGAGGGAGCATCGGTAGCCTCGATAATCAGCAAAACCGTACACATGAAAAGTTCTGATACCAGAATTATCAGACACAGTACCTGAGCTTCATCGGGAGAGCCCTCGACACTCCTCACCCATGGGGAAGGCGCAGCATGTCTTGGCTGTACTCTTAAATCGCCCAAAAGCTCTGCTCTTACTAAAAACTCTTTTCTTTCATTTTGGCCCTTCTTATATACTGTCCTATAACAGAAGGGAAACAAATCAGCCTTCAGGTTAACTCACACTCCTTCCCCAGGCATTTTTATTCAAGTGAAAAGACAAGAAGGGTGAGATCAACCACATCTGCAGAATCAGAAGAAAGAAAGAAGCCGGAAAGTATCAATATTTTGTCAATATTTTGTATTTTCTTCTCAGATATCACCGAGGACAAGAAAAATCACCTAATCTTGAGAGGAGCAATGAAAAACTGTGAAGAACTCCTAGAGTTCTACAGTAGTAAACAGCTCTACAGCTGTCCCTTCAAAATCGCCAAGGTAACCAGAATGGCAAAGACGATTAAGACAGCTTGGAACGTTGGAGAGGATGGGAAACAGCCTGAAGTCTCGTACATTTGTCCATGGGGATGTAAAATGATAAAAACACTTTGGGAAACGTTCTGGCAATTTATTATAATGGGGCCAATGCCACTGTTTGGATAGCTCTTCGACAAGCTGTGCTCCCATTAATTCCCCCTAACCCTAGCCAGCCTCTTGGGCACATAAACCCTTGTCACAAAAAGGAGCTGCGGGAGAGTGTAGTTGACCCAAAAAGCCATACGCTTTTTAATTAATGTATTTATTCATTGTTCACCAAATACTTAAGCATCTCCTAGGTACCAGGCTCTATGTTAGGTGACAGGGGGAAAAAAGAAAACCTCCAGATCTTACTCATGTCGGATCAAAGGTATCAGGTCATTTTAATTCTAATTTCGATCAGTTTCCTCATCTGTACAAGGGGGATCTGTAAAAATCGGGATAACTCAAATGCTGTAAGGGCTAAATGAGATGCTCGTATGGAAAACGCTTTGCCTAGTGCCTGTCGCATAGTAAGGGCCTAGTCATTATACCTATTACAATCCCAGGAAGGACTTTACACCCTCACGGGTGCAATGAGAAGCAGAATGACACATTCTTTTAATACACTATCTCCAGACAAGGTATTTTAGCTATGCCTGGCTAAAATATAGCACGATGGCTTTTCCTTTAGTTCTGTTCCTGTAAAAGTGTGACTCCTTCTGAGGATCTCGGTAATAAAGCTTCTTTCTAAAAGTCGAGCTATAAAAGGCCATGCACAGGCCCATCAGTGGGCACTTGAGCCACTTCTAGTTTTTCACCTTTATAAACAAAACTGAAGTAAACAGCATTATACATATTTAAACTCTTCTCTGACTGTTAACGTGGAGTGACTCCTTGTTCAGGGCTCTGTCATACCGCATATCTTGGAAGTTCCTTTTTCCTAAATCATTTCAGATCTTCGAAGTTTTCCTCGATTCAAATGAGCTCTGCCAGTTTGTGCTGACTGTATTGGATGGCCTAAAAAATCTGAAGCATTCCGGCACACAGCAATTAGCCGGAGAATTGCTGGTATCATTGGTGGAAAGAGCGGAGTCCCGATTTGAGAAGGTAAAAAGCTTCGTGGCCATTTCCTGGGCTTGAAATGATCAGCAAGACCTCTCCTGCGGCTGCAGAGGCCGCTCCTGCTTCTGTTCAGCTGGGAGCTAGTGAAGGCGACCAAGGTCAAAGCCTGAGTCCATTTGGCCAATGTTGAATAGGCATCCTTTGAAGCAGTGTATAACAAACGACCACTATGTGTGCAACTAGGGAGGGACATTTTTTAAAACCTAAGGTGTAGTCCATATTTTCTGGAGGAGTGTTGCTTCCTGGGAAGATATAATTATCATATATGAGAATGGTAACTTCAATTTAGATCCTTACCCAGGTTAATTAACAGCGTCAAATTTTTAAAAAATCAAGCCATCAGTGATCCTAGAGGGGGGCTGACTTAGTAAGTATAAAATGGAGAAAGTTTATGTAAATGTATCTAAAACTGATACATCAAGAAACAACAATGTAGATATGGAAGGGCATGCAGGGAGAGAGAAGAGTGGTTGTCCCTGGAACAGGCAAGAGAGAGCCTTGAAATCCCACTGGACCTTTAAAATTGTGTGTACTTTGATAACAATAAAAAGTAATTTTTAAATGCTATTAAAATAGCAAAGATGCAAAAAGAACAATAAAATGAGAGCACAGTGAGATGGACACATATCAGTTGGGTGCTTTCAGCTGTTAGATCAACTGTGAGAAGCTTAAACCAAGGGTTTATCATCTCATAGAAGAAGTGTGGAAGTAGAGTGCATGTTCTAGGATCGGTCTGGTGACTCAACAGGCATCTTTCCACTTTGCCTGTTTATATAGCCAGAAGGTACTTGCCACAGTTTCAGGCTTTATGACCAGATAAGACAAGACTACCCAGCGAAGAAGAGACATGTTTTCCTTCTGTCCCTTTAATCAAAGAGGAAAGTCTTTCCCAGTAGCCCCCCAGTAGATTTTCCCTCAGGTTTTACTGGCCAGAATGACATCACCTGCCATCCTTAAACCAGTTTCTGGCACTGGTGGTAATGACAGCTGTTCTATATGAGGCAGTTGAGGACGGCCTCTCCAAGATGCTGACACACCCACGGAGCCCTGGCGTCATGAGTTTATGAGCAGGGACAGTGGTTCAAGCAGAGATATGGACCAAAGCCCAATGGCAGGTGTCACTCCTCTGCCAACTCAGAGTCAGAGTGAAAACCCCCAGCTTCCTTGCAACACTAAATTTAGTAGTTAGCCTTATTGTAAAATCAACACGTAATCATTAAGGAAAAATCAGAAAAACATAGAAGCCAAAAAATTAATATCACTCAAAGAAACATTACTGACATCCTCGTATATATGTCCTTCCAAAAACTTTTACATGCATATACATGCATACAGGTATGTTTTAAGTAGTTTTCATAATAAATTTTTAAAAAAATAATAAAGATTCTGTTTTAAAAGTCACCCCCAGGGCCTTTCAGAAATAACCACAATATCCTCAGTAACTGTCAGTGTCCCTCAGGATTAAGGTCTTAGTCACTTCTTTTCTCTCTTCAGGTGCCGGAAATTGTGGACTTTATCTGTGCGCAGCTATCCATGGTCAGCCAGCCTAGTGTCCGCCAACAAGTCATAACTATCCTGAGTTTTTTTATCTCCAGGCCCAAGTACACAGATACAGTGATCAGCCACCTTCTGTATCATCCAGTCCCGTATGACAGGTAACAGAACCTTGGCTCGGCCTCTGGATTAAACCTGGGCGCGTGGCACATCCCCGAGGATTGCAGAACATGGTCGCCCTCAAAAATCTAACAATATTCTTACAGAGGAGATAAGATACAAATAGATGCCTGCAATATAAATCAGAATGCAGTGCATAAGCATACGGAAACAATCCAACAAACCCAGAATAAAGAGCGTTTTACAAGATGGTTGGGCTGAACTCTTCAAAGAAGCTAATGTCACAAAAGAAAGAATGGTGCTGGGGGCGCTGTTCTGGGTGAAAAGGGAAAGAGAGGCACCCATGCAGCACGTGACTTTGATTGGGCCCTGGTGAAAGGCAAGAGCTGTGATTAAAAATTTTGAGAGAATTTAAATAGAGACTCTATACTAGGCTATTAAGTTACTGTAGTTTTCTTAGGTGTGAAATGAATTTTCTTAGGTGTGTAATATGGTTTATGCAGAAGAATGTCCTTATTCTTAGGAGGTAGATACTGAAGGATTTAGGGGTGAAGGTCATGAAGTCTGCAATGCGCTTAAGAGAGATTTCGCCAAAACGTAAATGTATATATGTATAAAAGAACAGAATCATAGAAGGAACAAACACGATGCTTTTTTTT